AGATATGTTATAGGATGATAAATTTCACGAGTGAAGTCCCGAAGCACAAACGAGTCCTAAATAACATATAATGATACATATAGGCATGAAATTAGTGAATCTAACCACAAAGGTCTTTAGCAAACAACCTAGGATGAAAGAATAATTCACCAAAGGAGTGTTAGAAGCAAGTTAGGAGGGTGAAAGGGGGTTCACAGCTGGGCTTGATGTGTTCACGACCCTATGGAGTGATCACGGCCCAAGAACACTTGAGTGTTCACGGCCCAAACATGAAGGCTTCACGACCGTAAAGGGTTCACAACCCTTGAAGATTTGAAGGGTTTGCGGCCGTGAGCTCAAGAACAACAACACTTTATTTGATGAAAAACGCGTTTTAGAGGCTCCACAGCAACACCACAAAAAGGTGATTTTCGATGATTTTCGGAAGAAAAGGGGGTAATCTTGAGTTTGCGGTTGGGAGATTAGAGAGAGAATAGATGAGTTTTCGGCCACAAAATTGTAAATGAGGGGTAGGAGCACATATATATAGGCTGGGTGTATGGTCGATGGTGGGGTCCACCCAGCCGTTCACGGTTCACGGCCATGATGGGTTTACGGCCGTGAACACCAGTCAGACCGATTTTTACTGATTTTCGAAGAAACTCGGGTTTTCACGTGATTTTGATTACGACTCTTATATAAAATTAAATTATATAACTTAAATGATTTTTCCAACCCATAAGAATTTGACGGAATTAAATAAAAATTCAAAATTTATTTGACGGAGTCGGACTAATGTTAACGGAAAAAGTTTCGGGTTGTCACATGACATCTATGAGTCCATTTATTTCGTTAATTTATATATAAAAATTAATAATAGAATATTAAAAAAAAGATAAGGGTAACTCAATCTTTTAAGAAAAATTTCACAAATGGTCCTTGTGGTTTATATTTTTTTCTAAAATAGTCCTTATGAAACATTTTTTTGCATGAATGGTCCCTTTGAACAAAACTTTGCACGCCAGTCGTCCTTATGTCTAACTTGGTTAATAGATTTTATTATATGTTTGTGCAATAACGAAAACACCCTTTGTTATTTTATATTTATTTTAATACCTTTAATAAATCCTCTCTCTTTCCCTCGTTATTGTTGCCCCCACTATTAAAATGTAGAAAAGAACCCAACCATCAACACCCTTTTATTTCTTTCTCATATTTCCATTTCAGTTAAAACAACAACTTTGATTATCAAACAAAGGAATAATCACAACTATTTTTGTCACAAATGTGATCATTTCCATTCAAATTTCCAATCAATGAATTTTGGTTATTCCTTCATTTCCTCATCGTCATCCTCGTGGCCTTAATGTCCATAGCCACCACTAATATTTGTTTTTTCTGAGATCCAATCAGACCATGAACAATCACTTGCAATGGTAGAGTAGAAATCAATTTTTAAACTGGGATTGCTGACAAAAACCCAAGAACCATGTTCATATTTAAATCGGGATTGCCGACAAAACCCAAAAATCAAAACTTGTAGCCATGAATTGCACTTATAGTTTCGATGTGAGGTAAGGTGAGGTTTTGATACATGATTCACTTGTGATACGAATGCCAAAAAAAACAGGGTTCACATTTTGGTTTGGATTTGTATTTCAGTGGGGTTGTCTTTGGATGTACTGGATGTGAACTGATGCTTAAAAACCCAACCCCATTCCTTATGTAGAGGTATATGTGATTGATTCTAAAAATCATAAATTTGAACGTCAAACACACGATGGTGGTGGTGGCAACATAATGGCATTAGAGGGAGTAAAATTAGGTCACGAGTTGAAGGAGTACAAACTCGTGGGCCATGGGATGCTTCAGATGTGTTTCTGCTATTTCAAGATCGTGTTTTAGGAGCAGGTGAAGAAGTATGTATGTTTTTTGGATTTAGTATGTGCATGTATATGGTATGAGTTGCTCGTGAAGAAGTGAGGAGGATGAAGTAATGTCTATTAGGATGAGAGGGAGTGAATGAGTGGGGGAGGGAATATGTCTAGAAGGGAGTGAAAAAGATGTGTATGAGAGAGAGTGTGTGTGTGTGAGAGAGAGTGTGTGTGTGTGAGAGAGAGAAATTTGGAGGATGGTATTAGTAGGGATGAGGTGGGTGGGTCTAATATTTTCTTTTAACTTTAAATTAAATGGAGATTTAAATAAATATAAAAAATAAAAACGAAAAATGTTTTCGTCATTTTACAACATTTAACATAATTTGTTGATAAAGTTAGTCATAAAGACCATTGAGGTGCAAAATTTTGTCCAAATAGACCAAACATACAAAAAATGTTTCATTAATGCTATTTTAGAGAAAATCATAGGGTCTATTTGTGAAATTTTGTCATGTTAAATAAAATGGAAATACACACCAAAATAAAGTGTACGAATTAAAAAATAAAAAAGATAAGATCAAACACACAGACTAACCTAAATATAAGGGACCATTTGTGTAATTTACGCTGAAATTTAAAATAAAAGAATTGCTTAGTTTTCAACCACAGTGCACAAAGGTGAAATCCAATTGACTTTCAAAATTCCAGTCAATGGTTAGGTTACAGAAATATAGCTCTAGTTTTTTTGTTAACATCATTATAATTAATTAATTTTCATGAATAGATAGATAACTTTATGTAAACTTTTGTTACGGTTAGTTTTGTGGGGTTTCGATTAATTGTTTCAGTTTAATCGTTTCTCTAATATTTATATATTAACTGGAATTTTGTAATGAAAGTTCGATTTAATCGGTTTGATTACCGGATAAATCAAATAAATTTGATTATAGATTCTTTTTGGATAGAAAAGATGTCATAATGTTTTTATTTCTAGTATTTCATTAAAATTGTGGTTGTTACAAAGAAATTGATGCCACAACCAATGCCCTCTCTCCTCTCTCCCCTTCTAAAATAGGGGTTACCACAAAAAATCTATAGAAGATATAAAAAACTTATACTTTAGAATTGTATAAACAATCTTGAAATTTTTTTTCTTGAAATTTCAAAATTTTTTACAAGTTTCTAAATAATTTTTGGAAAAAAAATGTTTTTGAAAGACAATTTTTTTCCCCAAAATATTAAATATTTCGAAAATTTGAAAGTATTTCAACCTAACAAAGCTTTGAACTTGGTAGTAATTTTCGTTATTTCTTAAATGATAGTTAAAATGTTATAATGAAAAAAATGTCCTTGTGTTAAAATGAAAGAAAAATGTCCTTATGTTTAATTAAACATGAATATTATTAGATTAGATACGTTTGTTCATGATTCATATTAATGTTTAGAAAAACGCAACTAATGTTTAAATAAAGAGACTATAGAATTAATTTTTTGTCAATATTGTTTTCGTCAAATATATTGTCAAGACTTTATTTATGGCTATTTAAGATATGTGTCTTCTATTTTAAATTGAGGCCGAAAATATGTCAAGATATATTTTCGTGTACGTATCTTATGAGACAAGTTTGATTATCTTAGATTAAATAGTGTATGTGGATCATATTTGATTTAAATCTACCATTCTATGACTATTTAAATTTAAGATCGTTTTCTGTCTCAATATAATAAGGTAATGACCACCAAATTTGGATTTATAAAAAATATGAAGCAAATTAAGCATGGGGCAGACAATATAATTTACTGGCAAGATAAGCTTAAATAATATTTCAAACATGAAGAATTAGGTCATTTAATTTGTATATGCTTTTTTTAAAGGAAAAAGAGAGTGCCTACGTGCCCCAAACTACATGGTGTTTATGGGTTATTGAAATTTAAATAATGGACATCCAACTTTTAATTATAATTTTTGTTTTTAACTGTTTGGTCGTTTAGGATTTAAATAACATGTTATAACACTACAGGAAAATTTTTATTTAGCTACGGAAAAATTTTGTAGCTAAACCGAAATAACTACAGAAATTGCTATGGAATTTGTCAATAAGATTTCGTAGGTATATTCCTTGTAGCAAACTGTTTAGCTACAAAATTATAGTTTCGTAGCAGTTTTGCTACGACGTTTATTCCGTAGCAATTTAACTACAACATACTTCCATAACAATTCTGTAACAATGGGGTGTGTAGCAAATTTCGTAGCCATTTGTTCTGTAACAAATTCTATAGCCATTTGTTCTGTAACAAATTCCGTAACCATTTGTTCCGTAGTAAATTCTATAACCATTTGTTCCATAGCAAATTTCGTAACCATTTGTTCTGTAACAAATTCCGTAGCCATTTCTTCCGTAGCAAATTCCGTAGCCGTTTGTTCCATAGGAAAAATAGGTTCCAAAACATATTCATAACGATAAAAATATTCAACAAAATCCAATTTCCATTTATAATATTCGTTGAAATATATAAAAATGCAATAAATTTAATTTTAATCGATACATTGATTTTTATAGATATATACATAATTGAAAATCGTTTTACATGGTTTCCTAATCATCAAAACTGAATATTTATTACAAATATTGTCACACAATTCATATTTGAACCACCACAAACACACAAACAACCATAGATGCTCAATAAAAATGGCACAACCTGCAAAATCAAATTTATAAACAACTTGACTAACATTCAAAACAAAATATTGTGATGATGTATGAATATTCATGATCATAAGTGAAACAATACAAACTTACACACAGGATCATATGAATCAACAATAATGGTGTCATACTTTCCTTCTGGCGTCTTCCGGATAAACTCAACAGTTTTCCAAATTCCACAATATCAAATCTCAAACTTAAAGACAAATAAAGAAAAAAAAGCATGTCATGGGATCTGGAAATTACCATCAGCGACATGAAGATGAACACGAGGATCTTCAAAACCAACAACTAACTCAGGAAATACTTCTTACTTACCTACAATTACAATTACAAACAAAGAATTACATATACATGATGAGCATGTAACAAAACATTGGTTACTTACAGTTAAGAAATTTTATCTATCCACATACATCTATAACCATCTTATCTATTTCATATATATATCAATTAAATCCACAGAGCTGTGGCGAGCAATTTCCCTTACAACTCCACCATCCCCACCACCCACAACCAGAACCTGCATACATACACACCATCCAATATTAACAAGCATGGAAATAAAGAGATATGATCAAACTTTATCTTGATGTTAAAGTTACCTTTTTTAGGGATTCAATGGAACAAAGGGGAAGATAGGCAATCATTTCCTGATATGCACATTCATCTTTCTCAGTCATCTGAAGAATGCCATCAAGAACAAGAACTTTCCCATATGTTACAGAATGCACATCAATAATTTAACAACTTCAGCATATTATATATAATATTAACATGTTATTCTCTAGTTTTAGTACTAGAGTCTAGGGCTGATCCATGTGATACCTCAAAAACTACAACCTCCTGGTACTCTGATTTTTCCTTGAACAAAATCTTTTCTACTTCCAAGGAATGTGCTTCTCCTGATATTTATTATTCACAAAAGGAAACTCAGGTTGCATATTCAACATATATGAACCCTAGCTTAAATTACCTGGCCACATGGGGTTGTTAAAGTACATGCTTTTGCCACCTTTATCTGCAACAATTAACAACATAATGATGATCATCTCAAACAGTAACCACATGATTCATGATTCATGATTCATGATTCTGATGATTCAAATGACATGATGATTACCAGAGAACCATCCAGAAACAACTGTTGCATGACAATTGGCTTCAAGCTCTGAATCAACAGGGAAAGCTCTTGCTTTCAGGCAACAAGACGGCTCATTCACCCTCCCATCCAAACTTCTCTGGACTTCCAAGTCTCTCCATGCGTCTCCCTCCATAGATTCTCTTTTCCTTCTCCAGTTTCAGCCTCTAACACCAAAATATGGACCTGACACTTTAAATTTCTACACCCACATATAACATGAACATGAAACAATACAAATCAACAACTTTTATAATAGGATAGATATAGAATACATGAAAGGCTTAAAAGGTTAGACTAAAGGGGGGGGGGGGAATCTTGCGAAGACACATGGACATCAAATTCAACAATCACAATATTCTGTTTTGAAAAAAATTTGAGATTTTGAGAACTGAAAAATTATGATGTTTTTCTTAATTTTGGGATTCATGTTTAAGATAATGAGATTGATTGAATTTGTTTTGAAAATAGAACCTAAAAAGACCAATTTACTTGAACATTCCCAAGATTATCAAATTTCAAAATATAAGGAAGCTTCAACAAAATCTATGCTTTGTCAATATTTGCACATTATCCATAAGGAAACAATCGAGCTTCAGGCCATTCTTTTGTAACATGTTTATCCAATAATGCCATCAATTGCTTCTGTTTTTCCTTCTCTTCTTCCGGTAGAATTAGTGACATATAAATTGCAAGAAAAGATGCATTTAGCCTTTGTATATCCCCCATACATTCTATACGACTTCTATAGTTCCTCATTATTTGGTTAACTATCCACTGTCCCCTTTTATCTGATCTGTAATCCTGAATTCATATCACAAGAGTTGCAAATAAAGCTAAAGATAAGAAAAGAGATTATAAAGTTAATGGAAGCTCATTTCAATGCATATAAGGGGTTGTAACATTTTAATTTGATGAGTATTGTGAAATTAATAACCAAACCCAAACAATTGACAACAAAATCCATATGTTACTGGTGTTCAGCTTGTCATTTTCCTCATATCAGCTTTCACATGCATTGTTGCCACCATCCATATGATCAAAACAAAAGAAAATGATATCAAATTACTGACCAAAACAATCAAGTTCTTGTAATTACTGAAATGGAAGACCAAGGTTTAGGGCTTAAAATATAGATCAAGAATGAGGTTTAGGGCATGAAATCATTGCTTACCTTGAATGTAGAGTGGCAGTTTCCGAATATGATGGCTAGGTCTTGAAATCGTAACAGCTTCTACCCAAAATCCAATGAATCATAAGGTTATAATAAAAAACGAATAGAAATTGAGACTTTTTGATCTGGAATTGGTGATTGCAATTGGTTGTAAGCAATAATGGGGTGGGTTTTAGATGAACAAACCCTAATGAATGAAACCTTATCTTCATGCTTAATTGAAGTGTTTTGGAAGTTGCAAGAACTGTATTCTTTTATAATCAATAGCTCATAAAAGAAATTGATAAGTTTCGAAAGAAAAACAGAGACTTAACTTCGATTCATTCATAGAAAATAGAGAAAACGGGATACCTGGCAGCAAGATCGTTAATTGATTTTATCTTGGCAGCGTCGATACGAACAAAGTTCATCGCCGCCATATTTGAGTAGTCAGTGGAGACGACACAGATGGTGGCGCGCTGGTGGTGACGGTAGGGCCTAAAAATGAAAATCAGTCGAAGCTCTCTTCTGATGGGCTTTTGTTGGGCATCACCGGTGATCCTCGTTTTACATGGGCCCATGGCCGACTTTCAGTCAGTGGTCGCGCCCTGACGCCAACGACTGGGACGATAATCGATAGAGTATTCAGAGGCAGTCGGAGGTTAGTATCAGAAATTTCATGTTCAGGGGAAAGAGAGAGAGTGTGAAAGGATGGGGGAATGTGGAAACGTTGGAAGTCAAGCAACGTAAAAGCAATGTATAGGGTGTGTTTGGCTAAACTTTTTTACTTCAAAAGTCCTTTTCATAAAAGCCCTTATTGACTTGTTTCTTTTGCCAAAAGATGGTTTTAAAATATGTTTGGAATACCTTTTAGCTTTTTACCTTTTAAAAACCCAAAAGTCATCAAAAGACACCATTTTGTGACTTTTTAAAAGGATGTATTTTCTTCTTACCAAAAAGTTATTTTAAAAGAACTTCTAGAGTTCCCAAACATCTTCTTAAACTTTTTGACTTTTTCAGAAAGAAAAAGATAAAAAGTCATTTTAAAAGTTTTGCCAAACACCCTCATAGTAATCTGATTAAGGGAAAAAGTCAGTAGCAATCTCAACAAAGTACTGGGCAATAAATTGCCAAATTTTAGAAATTGTGTGCCCAAACTCTGAACTCCCAAAAGTTTAAAGTGCAACATTTGAAAAGTTTGAAAACATCTGTGGCCAAACTCATAAACAGGTATATTGTTTCTTAAATCAATATGTGCTTTTATATGTATATACTATCTAGTGTGTGTGTGGGGGGGGGGGGGGGGGGGGGGGGGGGGGGTGTAAAACTGTAACGCACAAACATAGAAACTAAAAGTGTCAATAAACTAAAATTATTGTGGCTAAAATCCAAAATGGAAAAAGTTACTTTTAAAATGTTGTTCCGTATTTTATATATATATATATATATATATATATATATATATATATATATATATATATATATATATATATTAATAATATATAACAAAATAATGATAATAAGAATAAATAAAAACTTATAATAATATGTAAATAATTTTATTAATCATAATTAAATTATAATTAAAAATCATAACACAATTAAAGACAATAATTTATTTTTTTGGTCAAATATTTTTTTATATTTTACTACGGAAGTATATTCCGTAACTAATTGACTACGAAATATTCCCTAGCCACATAGCTATAGATTTAGATTCTGTAGCTATTTTGCAAATTCATAAACAACTTAGATACACAAATAACAACAGTTAACCTTTCTGTTAAAGTTCCGTTGTAGATTATTTATAGATTTTTATTGTGTAGCAAATTTTCGTCCTAAAGTAGCTACGAATTTATATTATGTAGCAAACTAGCTATGTATTTTTATTCCGTAACCGATTTTGTAGCCAACTAACTACGAAAGTGGATTACGTAACAAGTTCCATAGCAAACTAGCTACAACCAACAGCCATGTAGTATATTTCGTAGTAAAATAGCTACAAATTTTGATTTTGTAGCAACAATTCAAGATTTAGCTACGGAAATGCAACTCCGTAGCTATTTCGCTACAAAAATAGCTACGACCAACCATTTTGTAGCATATTCTATAGTAAAATATCTACAGATTTTGATTACGTAGTAACTTTTTGTAGTTATTACTAGTTTAGCTACGGAATGTAACTTCGTAGCCATTCCATAGCAAAATAGCTACGAAAAGCCATTTTGTAGCACATTCTGTAATAGAATAGCTATGGATTTCCATTCTGTAGCAAGATTTCGTAGCTATTTAGGATTTTTCTTGTAGTGTACTTTTCATTTCGTATCATATGTAAAACACAAATAAAATCGTGGTGATCATTTATGAGATCTTCAAACCATGGTCGGTTCAAACGTATTTGATGTCTGTGAAAGAATACAAAACAAATTGGTCCCTTTACCGATTACATAGATGCTAGAGCTTACGTGATATTCATATATTTAGTATATATGTCAGAAAAACAAAACTTATATAAATCTTATTGAAACTAGCGTAGTTACCCATGCTCTGCATGGGTCATTGTATTTCATTGTATTTATAATATTCAAATCCATGCAAAACATTCTTGGTACATTAAAAGTTGATTGACATGGAACAATGGGGAAATTGTCAATCACATAGATAGTATTGAAAAAGAAAGACAATAGGATCTTCTGTTCTTATGGCTTGATTTCAGGATGTACCAACTCATTTGGAACTGTCATGAAGTTGTTAATTTCATCAAACATACTGACAAAAAAAAACATGTGCTTGTCTAACTTGTAACCATTGGTTTTCTCCTTTTGAAGCTCAATTTCCTATACCAAGCAAAAACAACAGATAAAGAAAAGATTCATCTATTCAAACATTTGTTTATAGAGAGTTATAAGGAATGCAGGTAAATGTTTTTCAATGTTTTCATACTCACCAAACTGTCCATCAGCAACCACTTCGAATTCTATAACCAACACCACATTCTCTATTCACATATTCCCTTCTCTGATTTTTTTACAATAGAATCATAAATCAAATTAAAACTTAATCAAAAACTAAAATTAAAATGAATCACCAACCTCTACATTGTCAATCAGACCACCAGATCTGCCACTACCATCGTGTTTGTGTGAATATTCTGTAGCATCAAAAACATAATCCAAAGACTAAAATAATAATTGTAAGTTATTAAAAGAACAAAAAACACATAAAACAAACTAACCTCATTCCTCTGTAATATCATATGTTCAAAACAGTGACATTGTCTCTTAGAAGCTGCATAATCAAAGTAGTATCTTTGTATGATTCCTCCTTCAAAGTATGAAGCTGTGAAATTGCTTCATCATAAGCCTGTTTAGGTAAGTAACATACCCTGTTAAGCAAAAAATGGTAATCACTAATGAAAAAATGATATTGATTTGATGATTAAAAGTTAAAAGCAAACCCTTCAGATGAATTCATGATTTCATAATAGAAGGCTGGGAAATTTAAAGTCAGCCCCAATCGAATAGTTATCATTTGGCCTTCTTCTTCAACACCAAAGACACACAGAAATGAAAATTGAGCATCTTTGTCACACCCCCAAACCAAGGATGGCAGAAACGTCCGGGGGTGGAGGACTTCATTTATAGTATCACAACAACGAGTATAATAGTGCTCAAAGTGAATACAACCATCATAAATATAATTGAAAAAGTTACAGCATAGTATGTGTTTACATGTTTCAAATCAATTACACTATGATGACAAAATGAAATGTTTCACGATTCAACGTCCCATCCTCAAAAGCTGTTGATTACCTATTTCACTAGTTTCCTGAGAATACAAGTAGTTTTGAAAAGTGTCAACAATTAAGTTGGTGAGTTCATAAGAGTTTTATTTGAGAAAGTAGCTGTTTTCCTTGTAAAAGCGATAGAGTATGATTCCAGAAAATTTAATATTTTCTTTATTAAGTGTGAAATGAACACTTC